ACGGACAGAGAGACGGACGGAAAGAGAGACGGACGGAAAGAGAGACGGACGAACGGACAGGCGGACGGACGGACGGACAGACGGACGTAAAGAGAGACGGACAGACAGACAGATGGAAAGAGAGACAGACGGAAAGAGAGACAGACGGAAAGAGAGACAGACGGAAAGAGACAGACTGACAGACAGACGGAAAGAGAGACAGACAGACGGAAAGAGAGACAGAGAGACATAGATAGATGGATAGAAAGAGAGACAGAGAGAGATAGATGGATAGATGGAAAGAGAGACAGAGAGAGATAGATGGATAGATGGAGAGATAGATAGATAGATAGATAGATAGATAATTAGAGAGACAGACAGATGAGTGGGCACAATGTCTTCCTGTGCATCCAACTAGTCTGGTGACAATTACATGTCTGTTATTCCACCCATTGTACATCTCTGCAGAATTTGCTGGCGCTATATAAATAATAAATAATAGTGTCACACGGAGATATGGCTGTGGTGTTTGTCCTGAAACACCATAGCCATATCTAAGAATGCATGTCAGTTACTAGATGTCAGTTTGGCTTTACACTGATTCTGTATATTACAACAATCATCAAGGGTAATTCTCAGCAATGTGTACAACGCCGCACTCTCTGCATGGTCTCATTGCATTGAACTCAAATATTAATTTAAATACTATATAACTGGAATTACACACTGTCCAGTGATTCTCAATAATTGCCAGCTGTTATTGTATTACTTCCTCTATTTTTAACTTTTTATCTTCATTTTCTAAACCGTCAATGTATCATTACATGTTCATTGTCGCCAACTGTCACCCTCTTATTCCAAATTACTGTATTTCCTCGCTCACTGAGTAAGTCTGGGTGAGTTAACCTTTTATATTATTTACTGCCCCTGTGCAAGGTAAGTCAGTTCTAATTATAGTTACTGCCCCTGTGCAAGATAGGTCAGTTCTAATTATAGTTACTGCCCCTGTGCAAGGTAAGTCAGTTCTAATTATAGTCACTGCCCCTGTGCAAGGTAATTCAGCACTAATTATAGTTACTGCCCCTCTGCAAGATAGGGCAGTTCTAATTATAGTTACTGCCCCTGTGCAAGGTAAGTCAGTTCTAATTATAGTTACTGCCACTGTGCAAGGTAAGTCAGTTCTAATTATAGTCACTGCCCCTGTGCAAGGTAAGTCAGTTCTAATTATAGTCACTGCCCCTGTGCAAGGTAATTCAGTACTAATTATAGTTACTGCCCCTCTGCAAGATAGGTCAGTTCTAATTATAGTTACTGCCCCTGTGCAAGGTAAGTCAGTTCTAATTATAGTCACTGCCACTGTGCAAGGTAAGTCAGTTCTAATTATAGTCACTGCCCCTGTGCAAGGTAAGTCAGTTCTAATTATAGTCACTGCCCCTGTGCAAGGTAATTCAGCACTAATTATAGTTACTGCCCCTCTGCAAGATAGGTCAGTTCTAATTATAGTTACTGCCCCTGTGCAAGGTAAGTCAGTTCTAATTATAGTTACTGCCCCTGTGCAAGGTAAGTCAGTTCTAATTATAGTCACTGCCACTGTGCAAGGTAAGTCAGTTCTAATTATAGTCACTGCCCCTGTGCAAGGTAAGTCAGTTCTAATTATAGTCACTGCCACTGTGCAAGGTAAGTCAGTTCTAATTATAGTCACTGCCCCTGTGCAAGGTAAGTCAGTTCTAATTATAGTCACTGCCCCTGTGCAAGGTAATTCAGCACTAATTATAGTTACTGCCCCTCTGCAAGATAGGTCAGTTCTAATTATAGTTACTGCCCCTGTGCAAGGTAAGTCAGTTCTAATTATAGTTACTGCCCCTGTGCAAGGTAAGTCAGTTCTAATTATAGTTACTGCCCCTGGGTGCAAGGTGTAAGTCAGTTCTAATTATAGTTACTGCCCCTGTGCAAGGTAAGCCGTTCTAATTATAGTCACTCGCCCTGTGCAAGGTAAGTCAGTTCTAATTATAGTCACTGCCCCTGTGCAAGGTGTAAGTCAGTTCTAATTAGTCACTGCCCCCTAAAAAGTGCGTGTAAGTCAGTTCCACTATAGTCACTGCCCTGTGCAAGTGTAATCTTGTAAAGCAAATTGATTATAGTTACTGCCCCTGTGCAAAGTCAGTTCTAACTATAGTTACTGCCCCTCTGCAAGGTAAGTCAGTTCTAACTATAGTTACTGCCCCTCTGCAAGGTAAGTCAGCTCTAATTATAGTTACTGCCCCTCTGCAAGGTAAGTCAGTTCTAATTATAGTTACTGCCCCCTCTGCAAGGTAAGTCAGCTCTAATTATAGTTACTGCCCCTGTGCAAGGTAAGTCAGTTCTAATTATAGTTACTGCCCCTCTGCAAGGTAAGTCAGTTCTAATATAGTTACTGCCCCTCTGCAAGGTAAGTCAGTTCTAATTATAGTTACTGCCCCTGTGCAAGGTAAGTCAGTTCTAATTATAGTTACTGCCCCTCTGCAAGGTAAGTCAGTTCTAATTATATTACTGCCCCTCTGCAAGGTAAGTCAGTTCTAATTATAGTTTCTAATTATAGTTACTGCCCCTCTGCAAGGTAAGTCAGTTCTAATTATAGTTACTGCCCCTGTGCAAGGTAAGTCAGTTCTAATTATAGTTACTGCCCCTGTGCAAGGTAAGTCAGTTCTAATTATAGTTACTGCCCCTGTGCAAGGTAAGTCAGTTCTAATTATAGTTACTGCCCCTGTGCAAGGTAAGTCAGTTCTAATTATAGTCACTGCCCCTGTGCAAGGTAAGTCCGTTCTAATTATAGTTACTGCCCCTCTGCAAGGTAAGTCAGTTCTAATTATACTTACTGCCCCTCTGCAAGGTAAGTCAGTTCTAATTATAGTTACTGCCCCTGTGCAAAGTCAGTTCTAACTATAGTTACTAGTCTATAGTTACTGCCCCTGTGCAAGGTAAGTCAGTTCTAATTATAGTTACTGCCCCTGTGCAAGGTAAGTCAGTTCTAATTATAGTTACTGCCCCTGTGCAAGGTAAGTCAGTTCTAATTATAGTTACTGCCCCTGTGCAAGGTAAGTCAATTCTAATTATAGTTACTGCCCCTCTGCAAGGTAAGTCAGTTCTAATTATATTTACTGCCCCTGTGCAAGGTAAGTCATTTCTAATTATACTTACTGCCCCTCTGCAAGGTAAGTCAGTTCTAATTATAGTTACTGTCCCTCTGCAAGGTAAGTCAGTTCTAATTATAGTTACTGCCCCTGTGCAAAGTCAGTTCTAACTATAGTTACTGCCCCTCTGCAAGGTAAGTCAGTTCTAACTATAGTTACTGCCCCTCTGCAAGGTAAGTCAGCTCTAATTATAGTTACTGCCCCTCTGCAAGGTAAGTCAGTTCTAATTATAGTTACTGCCCCCTCTGCAAGGTAAGTCAGCTCTAATTATAGTTACTGCCCCTGTGCAAGGTAAGTCAGTTCTAATTATAGTTACTGCCCCTCTGCAAGGTAAGTCAGTTCTAATTATAGTTACTGCCCCTCTGCAAGGTAAGTCAGTTCTAATTATAGTTACTGCCCCTCTGCAAGGTAAGTCAGTTCTAATTATAGTTACTGCCCCTCTGCAAGGTAAGTCAGTTCTAACTATAGTTACTGCCCCTCTGCAAGGTAAGTCAGTTCTAACTATAGTTACTGCCCCTGTGCAAGGTAAGTCAGTTCTAATTATAGTTACTGCCCCTCTGCAAGGTAAGTCAGTTCTAATTATAGTTACTGCCCCTGTGCAAGGTAAGCCAGCTCAGTTCGGTCCAGATCATTGCTTAGTAAATAACCCCAGGTTTGTTTTGTGTTGTCTCTCTTTTTCTCCATTGTGTTTAATTATAGTTCCTGACGAGTGGCATTCCTGGAGATTGTTCGGTCTGATCACTGCAGTCACAAGACAGTCACACCAGTCACTCTTTCCATCACGTCATTACAAACACTGCGTGTTCTGCAGGAGGGGCTGATCAGACATGGGGGCTTTGTATAGTCTTGTGCCCCCTGTACAGGAGTTATATGAATAGTCAATAAATCTTAGTTGCCCCAATACTGACTAACAGGAGCTCTGTCCTAGCTTTCTCCCTTTGATAGTAGTCCCAGTAACATTAAGAATGATCAGTAATGTGGTAGGAAAGGTTAAAAGAATGGAAACTATTGAGAGGGGTTCCGCAGGGGCGGACTGGCAGAGGCTGCAGCCCCAAGAGAAGTCCTGAAAAGTCCTGGGTCTAATTATAGCTGTGGCAAATAAGCCTATGCAACGAGCTCATGGAGGAGCCTGCTAGCTAGCCTCCTGCCCAAAGACTATGGGTAATATCCAAAGACCGTGTATGGGAGTTAAACCTCCCCAGCCGCCATTAGCAGCATTCCCTGGGTGCCCCTGGTTCGGCACTTTCCCTTCATTCTAATGGAACCGAACACTAGCACCCGGGCGGTCGTTCATATGAAATCCATGAATTGTCCTCAACGGTACTTAGCCGCGATTGTCATGGAACCAAATTCGGCACGAGGATTTTGTGGATTCCTGTTCTACTCAGCGGGACTTAGCCGCAAATTTATGGACCTGTTTTTGGCATGAGGTGACTGTGTGGTTGCACAGTATGATGGGATTGATGTGGTGCAGGAGTTTAATGCAGCAGGGTAAAGGGTTAATACAGCAACGCTTGAGGTTAATACAGCAAGTATAGGGTATTTTGCCACCCAGCAAAGTCCATAGGGGTCAGTGTGTCAATGATAACCGACATTTTGTAAAAGCTATTACCGAAAATTTACAGCTACAAAATGCATCTGAAGTCTACCATGCACAGTATTCACAATATCTGGATTTGTAATTTATGGCCCGCAGTTAGGGTTCAGGTTTCTGGGAGATGTCACCAGCCATGGGATTCATGCCTGACCAAGCACGGGCATTCATACATATTTTACATCATGTGGTTAAACCGCGGCAGACTGCACGAGCACAATGTATCATAGCAGCATTTGCAAAGACACCTCAAAGTTCTACAGACATCCCGAAGTAACGTACACGTTTCTATAAAACATCAAACTGACATTAATGGTGTGAAGGTATGTGTAGCTCCCTCTGGTACAGTTTTCTGTCATTTTAAACTCAGTGACAATTTTTAGCAAGTTTGTTCTTGCTATCTGTTACCATTAGGGGATTATTGGGGACTCCCCTTTGAGGAGTGCTGCCTTTCTAATAATTTTATTGTGGCAATTTAGCGCTGTTTTTTTCTTTTTCCAGTGACAATTTTTGTTCAATGTGCCAGGTGAGAAAGATCTACTCTACAATGAGTTGGGTTTTTGGAGACTTCAGAAGGAAATTGCACATTTTGACCATGAAGGCATGTAATGAATACCTTTTGTGGCTTCCGGTCAAATTTTGTGATTTTCTCTGAATTTAATAATTTACCATCAATTTCAGAGAGATTTGGTGATTGAATTGCTATTTTAACAGATTCCAACCATAATATTTTTAAAACAATTTTAGTCTAAATTTAATCTGCTATCAAAGCAATGTAAGTGACTGTTTATTGAGTGTTCAGTAAAAATAGTCATCGTTTTGGCTGTTTCCCTTTGTACACCTTTAAGGTATGTATGGTATTTGTTGTTACTTTAACATATTGTTTGTAAACTCCACCCTGGAACAAAATATTCTATAAACCTGTTCTGTTTCTTCCTTTCCCAATAGCGACGTTGGTCAAGCTACGTACTCTTTGTCTGAAAGCTTCAGTGGTAAAAGGTAACAAGTCAACGTTCAGAGAGAGAGATTGTATTGGAAGAATGGATTCCGAAAAGAAATCTTTAAACCCAGATGATCACGATCTATATTCTAATCACACAATGACTCCAAGCATTCCTCAGGAAGCCCCTCCATATACTCCCCCAATGATAAATACAGAGCCGAAGGTGATCACAATGCCTCCTCCTTACTCGCCAAATGACATCAACATCGTGAATACGGTGGTTGTGAAAAAGGCCGGTGGGGCTGGTCTGGCTAAACACTACAATGATTATATGGCGCTGTCCATCATCATGCTCCTCTTTTTCTGTCTGCCCTTCGGAATCGCTGCCCTTGTGTTTTCCTGCAAGGTAATGTGGGTCTGTTGGGGTCAGATTCAGTATTATATTGTTTGTCAAGTGGGAATAATAACGTAAATGTCAGTTAAAACAAGGTGGGATTTTACTTATAGAAATCATGTAATAGATATGTAAGAAAAATGTTTTATATAGAAATTGTGTACGCATTGAGTGTGGGAGAAATAACGTTACTATTATTCACCAATTCAAATGCAAAAAAAAGTAAAGTAAAAGTAAATGAAGCATCAAAGATCACACGTTTCTTTCTGGGTGGAGGGTGGAGTGACTGACAGCCTTCGCAGCACCCGAATGTTGCACTATAAAGGCCATGGTATACCAGGAACATTGCCAGGGTAAAAAATGTAAAACAGACTTCAGCTCAAAAATCATTTGGTGACTTTTTCCAAAAGCCTCGACCTGCCCCCTCCTCAAACACCACCCTTTAACATACATCTTGACACACACACAGTTACTTACATATATACAAATACACACAGAAATGTATAAACACACACAGGCAAAAATAAAGACACACACACGAATAGACACACAGGCACAGACTCAAACACACTGGCACACACAAACAGGTACAACGGACACAGACAAGCATAGAAAGGCATACATGCATACTCACAGGCACAGACAGCCAGGTGCATACAGACACAAACAGACACAGTAATTTATAAATAATCAGACAAAATACAGGCACATGCAGACACAGATATACAGGCGTACACAGAAAAACACAAACAGGCACATTTAGATACAGGCAGATACAACAAAAGCACAAACAGGTACATATAGACAAATACAGGTACACTCAGGCATAGAGAGACAGAAGCAGAAAGACAGAGACAGTTACACTTAGGAAGAAAGACAGGCACATACAGACACACACAGACACAAAGAAGCACAAACAGATACAAACACACACAGGCAGATACAAAAGGTCACAGACAGTTACACACAGACAAAAACACAAACATACTGCTACAGACAGACAGAAAAAGGACCAAGCAGAAAGAGACAGGTACACTCAGGTACAAAAAGACACAAATGGATATAATCTGACACACACAGAGAAAACACACAGGCACAGACTGAGACAAGCACAAACAGACACAGAAAGGTACACCCAGACTCACACATGAATAGAGAAATGACGACAGACACACAGATAAGGTAGTAATGAATGATGAGCACAACCAACTAAGATAAAAAGCACTTTATTATACTGGTACAAAAACTGGTACACAGGTATCACCAAATATCGAACTGCAAATCTCGGTATAAATATAATCACATATAGACAATCAATATGAGGACTATAACCAAATCAGAAGATAAAACTAACCACTCCTGGAGATGCCGACTAAATAGTACCAATCCAGATACAAAAGAGAATGGATACCTGTATACAAATGTTCACCAAATAATACATACCAGAAACAACTGAACCTATCAAAGTGAATGAGAGGAGGGTGAAAAAGTCACAGAATAGCCCCCAACATTTTGGCGTGTATGCTTGTATGCTCCCTTGAAAAGGCATACACCCCGAAACATTGGGGGCTATGCAGGTCTGCCCCTTTGCGAGGATCCAGTGACGCAGTTTGCAACCCTGGACTGCCCCTTTTTACCTCACTTAGTGGTGTCCCGATTCACAGGATCCCAATGGTGGGGGCTAGGAATTCGCTCTTAAGTAATTAACCTTGTAATATAAATTTTAAAAAAAATTATTTTTTTACTGTTACAGATGCGAAAATCTATGCAGCGTGCGGACATGATTTCAGCAGAGAAGGAATCGCGCATTGCGTTCATACTGAACATGGTGGCCCTCACCCTGGGACTCCTGGCACACGCAACCTGGATTGGCCTTCTCATACATGCAGTGATAGCCGCCAAGTGCTCACCGCAAGGGGCCAGTTATGAGTCATTCCAAAATGGAATGAATCATGAATTCAACCATGAGCATCATGAAGGCTGATTGGTTTATTAAATATTCATTAATAATTGTAAAACCACGCATATTGATTAATCCGTCACTTATAATTGACCTGTATTCTTACAAACTATGTCTCTGACTGTTCTGACAGTTTCTGAAACCATTCTTTGCCTTCCAAATGAAGGCTGGGCGACTGTCTCGTTATCTGTATCAACGAGCACCTACTTACAAATACACGTCTGTGCATTAATCTAATCCCACTTTCTGAATAAAGATTTGACATATTTGCAACAGCATACAAACAATTCCGGGCATACATTGTCTTTATTTTATAGCCACAGACTAAGGCTCGTCAAAGGCCTTTAGGGTAATTTAGGGAGAGGTATTAGCAGTAGAAAGAGGGAAGTGCTCATGCCATTGTACCAAACACTGGTGAGACCTCACTTGGAGTATTGTACGCAGTACTGGGACCGTATCTCCAGAAGGATATAGATACTTTAGAGAGAGTTCAGAGAAAGGCTACTAAACTGGTTCATGGATTGCGGGATAAAACTTACCAGGAAAGGTTAAAGGATCTTAACATGTATAGCTTAGAGGAAAGACGAGACGGGGGGGATATGATAGAAACATTTAAATACATAAAGGGAATCAACACAGTAAAGGAGGAGACTATATTTAAAAGAAGAAAAACTACCACAATAAGACAGGGACACACAGACAAAGACACAAACATACTGCTACAGACAGACAGAAAAAGGACCAAGCAGAAAGAGACAGGTACACTCAGGTACAAACAGACACAAATGGATACAACCTGACACACATAGAGAAAACCAGGTACACACAGGCACAGACCGAGACAAGCACAAACAGACACATAGTCTTGAATTAGAGGGACAAAGGTTTAAAAATAATATCAGGAAGTATTACTTTACTGAGAGGGTAGTGGATGCATGCAGGGCCGGCCTTAGGGGTGTGCGAGCTGTGCGGCCGCACAGGGCGCCATGGCAACAGGGGCGCCGGGCGGCCAACACAGCTCGCAGGCCGGCCGAGTTCTGTATTTAAAGTGCAAGTCAAGTGCATAATACTGCTTTGCACTTGACTTGCAAATTATGAGCAGAGAGCCGCCGCCGGGAATCCACTTCTGTATGGAGGGTGGAGGAGGAGCGTGGGGGCGTTATGCCGCGTACTTGCGTAACGTCGACGTGCTCTGTCATCAGAGGGAGCCGCGGAAGGATCCAATTCAGTGAGTGAAGGCGGCACCCGGTGCTCTTCAATCGGCGGAGACAGCTCAGTCCAGGGAGCAGCAGCCTTTACTGTGAGTGACTTTTTTTTTTCTTTTTTATTAAATAGGTTTTGTTGAAGAGGTGCAGGAATTTAATTAAGGGGGGCAGGGGATTGATGAAGGGGTGGCATGGATTGCATTAATTGGCAGGGGATTTATTAAGGGGGCTGATAAAGGGTGGCAGGAAACTGAAAAGGGGGGCATGGGGCTGATTAAAGGGGGCAGGTGGTTGATAAAGGAGTGGGAGGGGATTGATGAGGAGATCAGGGGGCTGATGAAATGGGGGCAGATGGCTGATAAATAGGTGGGAGGGAATTGATGAGGGGGCAGGGGACTGATGAAGGGGTGGCCAGGGGTTGGATTATTTGGCATGGGATGTATTAAGGGGGCTGATGAAGGGGAGCAGGGGGTTGAAAAGGGGGGCATGGGACTGATTAAAGGGGGGCAGGTGGGTGATAGGGGTGGGAGGGTACTGATGAGGGGGTCAGGGGGCTGATAAAAGGGGGAGGGGATTGGTGAGGGGGTCAGGGGACTGATGAATGGGGCAGAGGGCTGTTAAAGGGGTGGGAGGGGATTGATTAGGGGGTCAGGCGGCTGATGAATAGGGGCAGAGGGCTGAGTAAAGGGTGGGAGGGAATTGATGAGAGGGGCAGGGGACTGATGAAGGGGTGGCAGGAATTGATAAAGGGGTGGGAGGGGATTGATGAAGGGTAAGGGGTGGCTAGGAGTTTGACGAAGGGATGGCCAGGGCATTGATGAAGGGGAAGGGGTGGCCAGGAGTTTGATGAAGTGGTGGCCAGGGGCTTGGTGAAGATCTGGCCAGGGATTTTGGTTAAGAGGTGCAGTGGTTTTGTAGAAGGGGGTGGAGGCAACAGATTGTGAATGCTCCTAAAATAGTTTGAAGGGGTCCAAACAGAGACAGGTGAGGGGGGGGGCAAGAAGGTTTCGCACAGGCCTGAACAAGGCCGCCCTGGATGGGGAGCCTTCCAGTGTGGTAGAGTTAACCACAGTAAAGGAGTTTAAGCACGCGGGATAGGCATAAGGCTATCTAACTATAAGATAAGGCCAGGGACTAATGAAAGTATTTAGAAAATTGGGCAGACTAGATGGGCCGAATGGTTCTTATCTGCCATCACATTCTATGTAACTAACTGCGGAGAAAGCGTCAGACCAGAATGTCAGGGTTATTTACTAACTGTCAATTCATTGAATCTCACAGCTGACCTGGAGAATTTTTCTAATTTAGATAAGGTGACTAAAAATGGGGAATTTTCAGTAGTAGCTTTAATTACGGTTTTACTTGTAATTATAATCTTTGAACACTAGTTGGTGATAGTGTACACAGTTTTATGAACATCGATAAAACGAAGGTCTGCGTAGTTCAAGAAGATTCAGTAGAATAAAACTTAAAGAGGATCTGTAACACAAGATTTTTAAACAAAGTTTATCTAAAAATTAACTATCGCCATGATTTTTCCCATTTTTTTAACTTACTCTGAGTAATCGCATGTATAGCACTATGCAGGGAATCCCTGAACGCCTGCACTCCCTTGTAGCAAATCTAGATAGCAAGTATGAGAGCACGACGCATCACAGGAATGGGAGTGCTAGGAGGTAAGTGTGCTTTATACACTGTGTAGGTTAAGTTACAGTTAGTTATACTGGGTGGGTTTATATTATTAAAGGGCACTCCAGGCTCCCACACACGTTAGATGCACTGTGTAGGTTAGGGTACAGTTAGTTATACTGGGTGGGTTTATATTATTAAAGGGACACTCCAGGCTCCCATACACGTTAGATGCACTGTGTAGGTTAGGTTACAGTTAGTTATACTGGGTGGGTTTATATTATTAAAGGGACACTCCAGGCTCCCACACACGTTAGATGCACTGTGTAGGTTAGGTTACAGTTAGTTATACTGGGTGGGTTTATATTATTAAAGGGACACTCCAGGCTCCCACACACGTTAGATGCACTGTGTAGGTTAGGTTACAGTTAGTTATACGGGGTGGGTTTATATTATTAAAGGGACACTCCAGGCTCCCACACACGTTAGATGCACTGTGTAGGTTAGGTTACAGTTAGTTATACTGGGTGGGTTTATATTATTAAAGGGACACTCCAGGCTCCCACACACGTTAGATGCACTGTGTAAGTTAGGTTACAGTTAGTTATACTGGGTGGGTTTATATTATTAAAGGGACACTCCAGGCTCTCACACATGTTAGATGCACTGTGTAGGTTAGGTTACAGTTAGTTATACTGGGTGGGTTTATATTATTAAAGGGACACTCCAGGCTCCCACACACGTTAGATGCACTGTGTAGGTTAGGTTACAGTTAGTTATACTGGGTGGGTTTATGTTATTAAAGGGACACTCCAGGCTCCCACACACGTTAGGTGCACTGTGTAGGTTAGGTTACAGTTAGTTATACTGGGTGGGTTTATATTATTAAAGGGACACTCCAGGCTCCCACACACGTTAGATGCACTGTGTAGGTTAGGTTACAGTTAGTTATACTGGGTGGGTTTATATTATTAAAGGGACACTCCAGGCTCCCACACACGTTAGATGCACTGTGTAGGTTAGGTTACAGTTAGTTATACCGGGTGGGTTTATATTATTAAAGGGACACTCCAGGTTCCCATACACGTTAGATGCACCGTGTAGGTTAGGTTACAGTTAGTTATACCGGGTGGGTTTATATTATTAAAGGGACACTCCAGGCTCCCATACACGTTAGATGCACCGTGTAGGTTAGGTTACAGTTAGTTATACCGGGTGGGTTTATATTATTAAAGGGACACTCCAGGCTCCCACACACGTTAGATGCACTGTGTAGGTTAGGTTACAGTTAGTTATACTGGGTGGGTTTATATTATTAAAGGGTCACTCCAGGCTCCCACACACGTTAGATGCACTGTGTAAGTTAGGTTACAGTTAGTTATACTGGGTGGGTTTATATTAATAAAGGGACACTCCAGGCTCTCACACATGTTAGGTGCACTGTGTAGGTTAGGTTACAGTTAGTTATACTGGGTGGGTTTATATTATTAAAGGGACACTCCAGGCTCCCACACACGTTAGGTACACTGTGAAGGTTAGGTTACAGTTAGTTATACTGGGTGGGTTTATGTTATTAAAGGGACACTCCAGGCTCCCACACACGTTAGATGCACTGTGTAGGTTAGGTTACAGTTAGTTATACTGGGTGGGTTTATATTATTAAAGGGACACTCCAGGCTCCCATATACATTAGATGCACTGTGTAGGTTAGGTTACAGTTAGTTATACTGGGTGGGTTTATATTATTAATGGGACACTCCAGGCTCCCATATACATTAGATGCACTGTGTAGGTTAGGTTACAGTTAGTTATACTGGGTGGGTTTATATTATTAAAGGGACACTCCAGGCTCCCACACACGTTAGATGCACTGTGTAGGTTAGGTTACAGTTATATATCTTAAAGCATCAGAAAAATATGGAGAATTACAGAGAAATTTTATTTTAGAAGGAAGACGTATGATTCTACATAATAACTATTTCTGGTTCGAGGAAGAATTTTTTATGCAAGTAAGAGGCACAGCTATGGGGACCAAGTTATGCCAATTTATTTATGGCTTTTTGGGAACAGTCTTTTGTGTCACAGGGACACGAATATGGCGCAAACTTGGTCCTCTATAGAAGGTATATAGACGATATTTTCATTATTTGGAAAGGGTCGGAAGAAACTTTCCTCCAGTTCTTTACGTATCTCAATTATAACAATTGGGGAATAACACTCACGAAGAATGTAATATAGTATCAACTTTTTAGATCTTTTTTTTTTTTAAAGTCGATGTCAACAGTTTTATTGAACTAGATAGTTGTCATCATCGCCCGTGGCTAAACAATATACCCAAAGGGCAATTTCTAAGGATACGTAGAAACTGTACCACAAAAGAGGATTATATTACTCAAGCGACTCTCCTCAAAGACCAATTGATAAAGAAAGGGTATGGAGATGATGAATTGCAA